ATTTTCCACCTGGAAGACCATAAACAAGGAAGGTTTAACTCCTGAGGATATTTATTTAACCCAGAAAAGCTGTACTGGATGTRCCTCAGCAACAGCAAGTGCTGTGTTGGATGTGATGTGTGAGATATCACAAAACAAACCCTCATCACTGGGAAACTAAAAAGAGTATGAAAAGATTCGTTAGGAGGTTGTACAAACAAAAAAGGAAAAAAAAAATAGGAAAAAAATCGACAGCATCAGGAATTACCTGCTTAATTCACTTCAGTGAAACAATTTGTGTGAAGTGTTACTCATCCCTGAACTCACCACATCTTTCTTGTACAGCACTTCCAGGATGTTACTCAGCAGCTGGCAGCAAGCCTCCAAATCTTCCTGTCTCTCCAAGTGATACTTGAGCTGGTCTGTCATTGTTGGCAGCAAGATTTCCCTGCAGTCTGCACACAAAACACGAGGTTACAAACAGCTCTCAGGGCCTCCAGGCTGATGTGCTTCAGYGCTTACGTAAGAGACACAAAAATCGGGAAAAAGAAATGGATTTCCAGCTTTTCAACCAAAACCTCRCCTCACCTTAAAAACTTCTGCCTCTGAACTGCTCCAGCCTTTGACCATTTGCTCCGATTATATAAAAAAAAAAAATCCCTTCTTTGCTTAAGTACTCTGCTGCTCCATGGAAGGAATTACCAGGTCTGAATTAATTACTAATTATCCATAGAAATGCAAGCCTGGCTCAGCAGATTTGTCCCAGAGATGCTCTGGGATCACGGCCTCATGGCTCTGTGTTTGTGAAACTGCAGGATTGCTGCTCCCTGCATTTAGGGCTAACATGGGAAGGAGAGATCAGCTCAAGCACAACCCCACAGGGCAGAGAGGTACTGTGAGCTGTCCCCAAATGCAGGGGAGAGAAAGAACCCCAAGATCTGGCAGTGAGTGCTGCAGCAAGACACAGAACATGTCTTTGTAAAGGTCAACCAGCCTTTAATCACTTAAAACACCCCAAATGAGAGGTTTGAGGATGTTTCCTGGCCCTGCTGAGCCACACTCAGCAGGGAGGGGGTGAGGATCAGTCGAGTATTTGAGTCACCTCCGAGTTGCACTGCCTGGAGCTGCTCTGATCGATGGCAAGGGCAGTCAAGCTGAATTTCTGAGAGGGGAAAATGAATTGATTTGTCACAGTGCTGGTTTGGAGTGACACAACCAACACAGAACACGGCACAGAATGCTGAGATCCTTGGGTGGAGCTGACAGGGCTCAGTTCCCACCTCAGCACCCACTGGGAGCACCCAAGGCTGCTGATAAATGGGGGGAACAAGGGGTCAGTGAGGGCTGGACACTGCAAAAACCATCCCAAAGGTGATGAGGAGCAAAGAGGGAGCTGGAAAGGGGCTCAGAATAGAGAGAAAGGGGCTCAGCTCAGGAGGAACATTCCAGATCTGCACAACTGCCAGGAGAGACTGGTGAGGGACAGGACACGGGGAATGGCTTTAAGGTGGAAAAGGGGAGATTTAGATGGGATTTTGGGCAGGAATTGTTCCCTGTATGGTGGGCAGGCCTGGCACAGGGTGCCCAGAGAAGCTGTGGCTGCCCCTGGATCCCTTTGAGTACCCAAGGCCAGGCTGGACATAGGGACAGTGGGAGGTGTCCCTGCCATGGCAGGGGTGGCACTGGGTGGGATTTAAGGTCCCTTCCAACCCAAACCATTCCAGGATTCTGGGATATTCCAACCAATCCATGCTGTGGTGACTCCCCTGCAACGAGAGAAGATTTTCAGCACATCTTTGCTGTGAAAAACACAGAGTTATCAACTGTGTGCTGATTCCTTGGCAGCTCAGAGA